AAGCGGGTATGCACCAAACATAATAGGGAAATAAGAACAAGCTTTTGTAATTGGTGGGAACATTGGATGGCCTACTTGTTACGCTATTTGCACTGTGCAACGACTGGTTGTTTTTACGCTGTTGTAAAACACATTATAGGTCTTATTAACGCGATTGCTTTCCCGACATCAAGGCTGCCTAAGGCAAGTTTGACATGAAGTCACAAGCACCGGAGTAGCTCAGTGGTAAAATGCTGGACCGGCACCCTGGGGACACGGGCTCGAGCTCCACTGTGCCATTTGTGCTAGTTCATGCCTGCCTAAGGCAAGTTTGACAATAAGTTACAAGCACCGGCGTAACTCAGTGGTAGAATAATGGGCTGGCACCCAGAAGATGCGGGTTCAAGCCCCACTGTGTCATTTGTGCAAGGTTTTTTTTCTAACATCTCGCGATGTGGTTACGGACACCAGCGGTGGCGGCGGACAACATGCAACTGCGTGTGACTTGAGTTGTGATCTCGTAATAGCTTTCATTGGAAAAGGGTCTGAATCATGATCAAGCCTTTCTTTCCTACCACATCATAGTTTCACTCAACCTTGATGGCCATTCGCCCCACGTATGTAACCGCATAGATAGAGAACCCAGACTTTCGTTGCGCGAGAGAACCACCGACACTAGCGTCTGTGAGAACCACGCTTAGAGCAGTAGGGACTTGGCGGCGCTAGGTGGCGCAATATAGGTGGTCATGTCAAGAGCCGGCAAAAAGTGGAGAGTGCTTGATCACGCCCGGCTAGAATGACGCGACATCGATGGCGGTTCCTTAACGATAGGTTAAGGGCACACTTACACAAGTGAATTTACGCACATAGTGACCACAATGGTAGCATAGTTCAATGATGTTCTATAGCTAGCCCCAGTTATTGGTTCAGGGAAGCCTGTGACAGCGCGTAGCCTAGATGAGTTGGAACACACACCACCGTTACACACGACGCACGTTAGAATTGAGTGCTTTAAGAAAGCGAGGCCGCCTTGCATGAGATTCATTTGAAGGTGACCGTTCTTCAGAAATGTTAGGACTTGTTTGAGGCATGCCAAAATTTGTTGCAATATCTCGTGAAATCCCCGCCGCGGTGGTACAGTGGCTAAGGTACTCGACTACTTACTCGCAGGTCGCGGGATTGAATCCCGGCTGCGGCGGCTGCATTTCCGATGGAGGCAGAAATGCTGTAGGCCTGTGTGCTCAAATTTCGCCGCACGTTTAAGAACCCCAGGTGGTCGAAATTTCCGGAGTTGTCCACTAGGGCGTCTCTCATAATCATATGGTGGTTTTCGGACGTTAAACCACACATATAAATCAAATCATATTTCTTTAACTACAAAACAATAATAGAGTCAAGGCAGCGGATACCTACTTTCTGGTTCACACACCGCAGAACCAAACAAATCATGCGCTCAGAAGTGACGGGTGCTCTGCAGAGACTGAAAGGCATTACACTGAATTCATTCACAATGAAGTGTTGCCCTGCCACGGTGGTCTAGTCGCTAAGGTACTCGGCTGCTGACCCGCAGGTCGCGGGATCAAATCCCGGCTGCGGCGGCTGCTTTTCCGATGGAGGCGGAAACGTTGTAGGCCCGTGTGCTCAGATTTGGGCCCACGTTAAAGAACCACAGGTGGTCGAAATTTCCGAAGCCCTCAACTACGGCGTATCTCATAATCATATGGTGGTTTTGGGACGTTAAACCCCACATATCAATCAATCAATCCCAATGAAGTGTTACAAGGCTGTCGTTTGACGTCCGTCATTTGTTCTGGTACTTGTCAGTACTCCGAATGCAAATCTAACACTGAAAAAATCTCGACATCTTTAAACGTTCAAGGGCATCCGAATTCCTGAAAAAATGTCGAGGTTCTATGAGCGCCGGTATTACATCCAGAACACTCTCACTAACATTTTTTTAACAGGAACCGAACGCGATGCTCACACACTTTGTGAAAGTCGATTAACGCCATTTTGTGTATATTGAACTGCATTATAATAACCTTAGGTTGCACTGTGAAAACGTGATATGACCGTTATCAAACTGGTGAATTGGCGCCGTCGTCTACAGCTTCAGGACCGTCGCATGGTTTGATTGTCACGTGTGGTGCATGCCCTAAATCAAGACACATGATATGCGCGTACACACTACGGGTGATCAACGTCTGATAACCGATTCTGGAGAGAGAAAGTGCCTATTAAGAAGGAGGAGGAGGAAAGTTTCAGCGGAAGGAAAGGGAGATTAGCCAGTTCTTAGACCAGCTGGCTACCCTGTGCTGTGGAAAAGGGTGAGGAGGATAAAAGTTGATAGTAAATAGGTTAGAGAGAAGGATAGAGAGAAAATACAAAAAATAGCAAAAGAGAAAAGCTAAAATAAAAAAGAATTATACTCTAAAGTCCGCCTCTAACGCTGGCAATTGAGAACATCATAAGCCACTTTGCAGCAGATTCAACGTGACAAAGTGTACGGTTCCTTAGTATTCATTTTTTAATGTAGCAGAAAATTCCAACTTATGCCATTCTGTTGCTCAACAGTTGGTACTCCAAAGTTGCTTTTCCACAAAGGACGCAGGAACACGCCAATATATTCTGCTTAAAATTAGTTTTCATAAAAAAAGCCTGTGGCAAATAGGTGCACGTGGTACGTAGGACAGCACCTGTGGAGCCAGTGTTCCTCGTTCATGACAATTGCGCTAATACTAAATAGTTGCAGATGCATCTCGTAATGCCAAACATTGTGACATAAATATTCGCTGACGAATTATATATATATAAATAAATATATGTATGTATATATATATATATATGTCCTGACGAAGGTCGTGCCATGGCTGAAACGAAGAGTAAAAAGTATCCAATTTCCGTAAGTATGTCCTTTATTTCTTGACAATATATATATATATATATATATATATATATATATATATATATATATATATATATATATTATATATATATTGGCCATTCGTTATGCGCGTCTTCTCATATATTCATTATAGTAATCATCCTCATTTTTATTAGGTGTCGCCACAATCAACATCGTGTGTGTGCGCGCTCTGTCCCAGACTGCCCGTTCGCTGCTGAGCCCCGGGGCTGAATACACGCTGTCTCAACCCAGACGTCATACATTGTGGAGGTGCTGGGTATCGATTCCAGTACCACCTCGCTCAGTACCACCTCAGTACCACCTGCCACCTCGCTCGACTCACTGGAGCTTCTTTCGGGCGGCCGCTTTCCCCTACTGTCTGGCAGTATCCCACAAGACAATTTGCCAGCGCTGCTGCCTTCTCTCCCCCGCCGTCTTCAGCAGCGACTCCTGTTTACGTACACAGCCACCAGCGTGATCCCCCTCTCTTCGCCGGTTTTCGCGGGGACTGGATCAATGAGTACAGCCACGTGAGTGCTGCTAATCAATGGGACGATAGCACCAAGCTCTGTTACGTTTCTTTCTACTTGACCGGTGTGGTGAAGACCTAGTGTTTCAGACACGTCATTGTCTTACCCGACTGGGTGACCTTCCGGCATAAGCTGCGACATGTTTTTGGAACACCAGCCATTCGTTGCACCGTCGTGAAAAGAACCCTTGATACTCGCCGACGGCATCCTGGCGATTCTTACACTTCATACCTTGAGGATGTCCTTTCATTGTTCTGGCATGTCAATTCATCTACGCTGGAATCGGACAAAGTGCGCCACATATAAAAGGCATTGGACCTGTTGCTTTTAATGCCCTCGCTGCGCAAAATTCAGCTACCATTGCTGACGTCGTCGCGACATGCCATTCGCTAGACTCCATTCGTCTCCAACCGGACATTGGCGACCACCACTCCACGTCTCACGGCCAACTGTGTGACCTCATCCGGGACATTATATACAAAGAATTGCGCTTTATGGTCTTCACATCTCCTTCACCGCGTTCCTTTGCTAACTTCATTAGGAATGAACTTACATCCCTGACCGGCCCTGATCTCACACAGCCACCTCTTTCTAGCCCTAAGTCAACCTACGCTCAAGTCGCTGCCGTGCCTCCGAGCAACGTACACGTGAAATTGCCGTAACCATCCCATGCGTCGGTTGCTGCCGCTCCCCCAGTCTACTACTGTTTAATGTCACCTGATCGCACTTTCTCCAGGAGCCCCTAACGCCGTCTACTCCTCACCCTGGCGCTTCTCCCACCCTGTCTGCTATTACAGTGGCTATCGCGGCCACATATCTCGTTTCTGCCGAAAGCACTAGCAAGATGAGCGCAGGGGTTAAGACATGCGGGAACGGGATTTGTCCACCGGGACCTCTTATTAGCGTCAGCGTTATTCGTCTCCATGGCACGAGTCTCCCTCTCCACCGGCATCTAATGCTCCGCGGAACAGCCGAAACACTAGACGCCGCTCGCCTTCGCCCTTTCGCCATTTCTCTTCTCCACTTCGGCCCGCCTCACTCTTCTCTAATTGTCAATCGGAAAACTAAATGATGCAGTTTGTGGAGGAGAAACTGCATTCTAAGTTGAAACTGCAATTCTACCATCAGGCCCGTGTACCATGGTTTCTGTTGAAATGAAAAGGAGTGCGTGTTGATGCTCCGGTAGACACGGGAGCAGCATTTTCCGCTATGCGTGTTGATTTTGGCCAACGTCTGAAAAAAGTGATGACCCTTTACAATGGGCCCACGATGATTGCTGCCCAGGGGTATACTATTTGCTCTTCCGCTTTCTGTACAGCCCATGTTTTTATTGATTGTATCCGCTATCACATTCAGTTCGCCGTGATGACTGACTACTCGCATCAATTAATTTTGGGATGGGATTTCTTTCATCTGCCCCTGCGGCTATTTGCTGTGGCCAACACGTCATTCACCTCACCCACATGGACTGCACGCTCAACGACGACAGCCGGAGACCACTTCGTTTGACAGCTGTGCAGGATACCGAATTACCCCCAGGTCAAGAGCTAATTGTAACTATTACCTTTGTTGCGAACTGATCAAAGCTGCAATACACGCCGGGAAAACAGTTGCTCAACGCGGACGCCCTGAGCAGGCTGCCACTGCGGTCTACGGAGGCTGATGACGTGGGTGAGCCACCGGAATATGTCCTCGCTCTGGATAATTTTGACGATGGCGTTATCACAACACGGGAGCTACAGCAGCTATCGGCCACAGACCCCGCAGTAACGGCGGTAAAGAATTGTATATTACATGGCTGGCCCAAAAGTGCAAAACAGCTGGAGGAAACGATGCGGCCGTTTTTCGACCGCAAACTAGAACTGTCCGTAGCCCATGGTCTAGTGTATTGGGGGCATCGCGTAGTGATACTGGAAAAAGCGCGGGACCGTCTTTTGAAACTGTTGCACGAGACCCACCAAGGCTCGTCAGGAATGAAAGCAGTGGCAAGGTCAAAATTTTGGTGGCCCCGACTAGACCGCGATATTGAAGCGCTTGCAGCCGGCTGCACGAACTGTGCCCAAAACATGCCAATGCCGGCAGCGGCACCACCAGTAAACTGGCCGAAAACCAATGAAAAATGGTCGCGGCTACATGTCGATTTTGCCGGACCCATAGCAGGCAAGATGATTCTAGTTGCAGTAGATGCCCATACCAAGTGGATAGAAGCCGTGCCAGTAAAGCATGCCACCACAACAAGCACAATCACCTGTCTGCGCGCCATGTTCAGTCGATTCGGCGTCCCGCGAACCATTGTTTCGGATAATGGGACACAGTTTTCTAGCCAGGATTTTGCTACGTTCGTGGCAAAGAACAACATAATGCATCTGAAAACGGCGCCCTTTCATCCACAGTCTAATGGAGCGGCAGAACGAGCAGTGCGTACAATAAAGGATGGACTTCGGAAGATGAGGGAGGGTAATTTGGAGGACAACCTTGTGCGGCTCCTGTTCAACTACAGGAGAACACCACAGAAGACGGGAAAATCTCCGTCAGAATTGCTGCTAGGGTTCCAGTTACGTTCACGATTGGATGCGTGTTTTCCCTCAACTGTTGCAGACTCGCCGCCGGCATCAGATGACTGGGTGGTCCCCATGGAAAGCAACGTGTACGTGCGGAACTACGGTGTCGGAGAAAAGTGGACACCAGGGCGTGTGCAGTCCACTGCAGGATCCCGAATGGTGACCGTCCAAACTCCTCATTCTGTAGTCAGACGCCACGTTGACCAAGTGCGCCCTCGACAAGCATCGCAGTCCCCATCGCCGGGCTCTGCATCCTTATCAGAGTCTAATATGTCCATGCTGCCGAAACGATCGCCGGGGCCCTCAACTACAAGCTCCACCGTGCTGCCTCCAGAAGCGCTCACTACCGCAAGCCCCCACGACCATCCAGTGCCAACCATGCCACAGGCCGGTCCTACACAAGCGGCGACCCCAAGCGCGGAACCAGTGCTTCGGCGTTCTACCAGACAACGCAAGCCAGTACAACGGTTCCATTTTTAAGAAGAGAGAAGTGTTGCGAACTGAACTCTCCTACTTCTACGTCCCCCTTTCCCCCCTTCGTGTTTCTGTCGATGGCTGAAGCGATAGCCATTCCCGCCCCCCTTTTTCCCCTCTCCCTGCTTCGTAGATGAAGCTACAAAAGAAGCTCGCGCGAAACAATAAACGTTCACTCGTTGCCCTAGTCTGCGGTTGTCTGCGTATGCTTGCCGTGGCTGAGCGGCTAGCTATGTAACAACCTTCAAAGCCATCTACCATGGCGAAGTCTTGGCCTCACCATCAGTTAGTTGCGCCGGTAAAGGCATCGTTCTCGCTTAAGGTGTAGTTCGTTTTCTCGACGGTTCCGCACTTGTCACCGCCGTGAATACAACATCTGAAAGTACTCTACTTCCTAGAACATTGCGGTAACCTGCGTGACCGATCCTGAGCCGGCGCGTGTCGTTCCACTTGACGCCGTCTCCTCCAACGACCACCCTAGTGGTGAGCCTGTATCTTCTTCTGCCTTTGCTGCAGCCACTAGTGACGACTTGACACCTTCACAAGCGCAACAGCCGCTTGCTTTGTTAAAGAAACACGCAAGTTCTATGTTTACTCCTCGACGTTGGGCCACACTATTATTACAACGCATTGAATCCACACAGTCATAACATCTGTTATACGCCACCGGCCCTATCGTGTGTCTCTTAGTGAGAGAAAAATTATCGGAGAAAACGTAGCTGACATGTTTATACGAGAGGTAGTTCACACCTGATTTAGCCCTTGGTGGTTGCCTGTGGTTCAGGTTCACAAGAAGGATGGCTCCGTGTGCTTTTCCGGCAATTATAGGACGCTCAACAAGCTCACTTGCAAGAATCTGTACCCAGTGCCACGCATTGACGACGCCCTTAATTCTCTACAAGGAGCGAAATACTTTTGCAGCCTCGACCTGCGTTCCGGACACTGTCAAGTTTTTATTCACGAAGAGGGTAAAGAGAAAATGGCGTTTGCGACCCCGACGGCCTATGCGAATTCCACGTTACGCCTCTTTCGGGCTCTGCCACGCGCCCGCTAGTTTTGAGCGCATAATTATTACCGTGCTGCACGGCCTCAAATTGCAGACCTTGCTCTGCTACTTGGACGACGTTGTTATTTTTTCGACGTTTCTTCAGCACGTGCAACGTTCGGATGATGTTCTGACAGGCCTTTTCGCTGCTGGTCTCCAGCTTAACACCAAAAATGCCGTTTTGCCACAAAAGCTATCAAGGTTTTGGGCCACGTCGTGAGCAAAGACGAAATTTTCCCGGAGTCGGAAAAAGTTTCTGCGGTGCTTCGCTTTCTGCGGCCCGAAAGGCCGAAGGAGTTGCGAAGTTTTCTTGGTCTCGCCTGCTATTTTTGCCGTTTTATACGAAACTTCGCATCAATAGCGGCTCCACTGCACCAGCCTCTTGCTTCCAACGTGCCCTTTCTGTGGTTGGAAGAATGTTAAACGGCATTCGACTTGTTAAAATGTGCTCTCACGACCGAACCTGTACTCCGCCACTTTGATGAGGCCGCACCGACCATTTTACATGCGGACGCTAGTGACCGCGGTATAGGTGCTGTTCTGCTCCAACGCGACACCTCTTCACAAGAGAGACTAGTTGCATATGTCAATTGAGTACTAACCACGACCGAGAAGATCTATACCACAACTGAGCAGGAGCGCTTGGCAGTGGTCTGGTCAGTGCAAAAGTTCCGTCGCTAGCTCCATGGCCATTATTTCACGATCGTTACGGACCACCACGCCTTATGCTGGCTTTACACGCTGAAGAACTTCTCTGGACGCTTGGGTCGGTGGATTCAACATTTACAAAAGTATGACTTGGATATCATTTACAATTCTGGTAGAAAAAACCAAGACGCCGACGCCTTTTCGTGCTGCCCGCTACCACATACCCAGCTCAGCATTGGTCGAAATTCGGCTGTCACTTCAACCGCAGCACCCGCACTCGCCTCAATAGACCATCTATTCTCAAACGACAAGCGCACACTTGACTCCTGCCAGTTCTCTGATCCGTACTGTAGGCGTATTATGGACCAGCTCTCAGGAACTTCCCAGTCACCTAACGCGCGAGACCGTCGCCAACTGTTGCCATTCAAGCTGGAAAATGGAGTTCTCTACCGTCAAAACTACCACCCTGGTGGTCAATGCTGGTATCCCGTGCTACCACGCTTTCTTCGACTTGACGTGTTTAATGTCTTCCACGACGACTCGATCGCCGGCCATCTTGGGTTTTGAAAAACTCACGACCACATCCGAACTCGCTTCTACTGACCTGGTATTTCTGCTAGCATCGCGCCCTACGTCGGTCTTTGTGCCTTATGCCAGCGTTGTAAAATGCAGACATCTGCTGCGGCCGGCCCTCTGCAGCCAATTTTGTGGCCCACAACGCTATTTGAGGTTGTAGGTGTCAACCCTCTTCCTGTCTCAACTACTGGTGGCAAACGATGGATAGTGACCGCCGTAGACCACCTGGCACGCTACGCAGAGACAACATCTGTGTCAAGTGCCACTGCTTCGGAAGTTGCCTACTTCGTTCTGCACGCCATGGTTCTGTGCCGCGGCGCCCCTCGTATATTGCTGATTGACCGTGGAAGGGTGTTTCTGTCAGAAGTGCTAAATGAAGTATTGCGTGCTTCTGGAATAACACAGAAGACAGCCTCAAGCTACCACCCTCAGACCAACGCTCTCACCAAGAGATTGCGCCGTACTCTTGCTGATATGACAGCCGTGTACATCAGTCAAGACCACAAAAACTGGGATACCCTTTTCAATTTTCTCACCTTTGCCTACAACACGGCTGTTCAACACACCACCAGATATTCACCGTTCTACCTAATTTATGGACGTTTTCCTACTTTCTTTCTCGACCTTTCCTATTTCAACACCGCCGTCAACTCTTCTCCGTCTTCTAGCGAGGAATACGTTTCAAGACTAGCCCGGTGTCGCAATCGTGCTCGCATCAACATGGAAGCGCGACATCTAGATCGAAAAGTCATTTATAACGCATGGCATCACCTTGTATTCTTTTGACCTGGTAACGAGGTGCTCCTGTTCACACCTCTTCGTACACCTGGTCTGTGTGACAAGTTTCAGCCACGATTCATTGCGCCTTACATAGTTATCGAGCAGACCTCGCTGGTTAATTATCGTGTGACTCCACTTGTCCCAACAGACCGCCGTCACCGCATTACAGAGATCGTGCACGCGACTCGCATGAGGCCTTTCAGGCGACGTTATCTGTCACATTGAGTTGCTACGGCCAGGTTGGCCACTTCTATGACGGGGCACCACCACGATGGTCTAGTGGCTAAGGTACCCGACTGCTGACCCGCTGGTCGTGGGGTTGAATCCCGGCTGCGGCGGCTGCATTTCCGATGGAGGCGGAAATGCTGTAGGCCCGTGTGCTCAGATTTGGGCGCAGGTTGAAGAACCTCAGGTGGTCGAAATTTCCGGAGCCCTCTACTACGGCGTCTCTCATAATCATATGGTGGTTTTAAGACGTTAAACCCCACATATCAATCAATCACTTCCATGAGGGGAGAAGTAGTGTGGGCATTCGTTGTGCGCTTCTCATATTTGCTTTATTATAATCATCACCATCCGTCTGGGTCTCTATCCTCCCCTTCATTAGGTCTCACCACAATCACCACCGTGTGTGCGCGCTCTGTCTCAGACGGCCTGGTCACTGCTGAGCCCTTGGGCTGAATGAATGCTGTGTAAATCCAGACGTCATATATATATATATATTGTTGGACCTCTGAGCCTTTCTGCTGCAGCGCGGCTCGCATCAAGCAAAAGCATGTCTTGCCAGATGAAAGGCTTTAATGGAACTGAAGAAGAAAGAAAAAGCTAAGGGTGAGCCGGCGCTGCCACGAGGCCAAGCGTCAGCTCGTGAGGAGGCTCAATAATAATAATGACTGCTATTCTGCTGCGAGGGATCAATAAAGGAAGTCACAACAGTCTCCCGCACCGACAGATGACGCTAATGGACTTCCTTGGGTACAGTAGCAGCACAAGACGCTTCACAACAATGCCGTTGGGCAAGCGTAAAAAGCAAGTCCTTACGATGCCGTCACGTCCACCGATCAGTTCTTTGTGCCAACGAAGGTCCACAGTTGCCTGGGACAATGTTTTTCTCCGAGTAGAACTACATTGCCTTCCTTCGATATGTGATTTCTTTTTTGCTTGGTTGAATGTGTAATTTCCGAGTTCATTGAGGTACTCCTTTTACCAACAAGACCAGAAAGTTTGCAGATCCTCTTTCGAAAGTTTCTTCAGTTGGTTGTTGGTCCACTCGGTTTGGATTTTGAGGTCGTAAAGTGGTAGCGTTGTCAGTCTTCTTTCAACGAGAAAATCTGCTGAAGATAGGGGGCACGGCTTATCCACGTCATTGTACACATATGTTAAAGGCCGAGAATTTATTACTGCTTCCACTTCCGTTAGTAAAGTGACCAACTCTGTCTGATTCACCAAACGTCGACCAAGCATCTTCTTCAAGCAGGTCTTCACAGAATGTACGAGTCTCTCGTAAGATCCGCCCCACCAAGGAGCACTCGGGCAAATGAATTTCCAGTCAATCTTCGAGGAAAAGAAATATGCAAGTACATCGGGATGCCGAATGGTTCGCCAGAGCTTCTGTAGATCTTTGGACGTTTTGACGAAGGTTCGGGCATTGTCGCTGTACATTGTGTGACAGAGGCATCGACGTGATACGAATCACTGAAGTGCACAAAAGGAAATACACTGTTGTCAAATCTTCAACAAGTTCCAAGTGAACAGCTCTTGTTACAGCACAAGTAAAAAGAGCGATGCAAAAGTGCTGGTGAAGATGCCCTTTGATGTAAAGTTGACCCGCAAAATCTACTCCATTTACAGGAAACGGAGGTGTTTGATTACCACGATCCTGAGACATACAAGGTGAAACTTGTTCATCTGGTTTAGACTGTAGGCGTTAGCAGATGAAACACTGTCGTATAATTTTTTTCACGAGCTTTCGTGATTGTGCACTTCAGTATTCTTCCCTTATTTGAGTCAGTGTGTCTCGTACTCCTCCGTGGAAGATTTTTCGTCAGCATGATTGATGATCAAAGCAGCGAGGTGACAGTCTTTCGGTAGGAGGATTCCATGGCGAGAACCA